GTCTGACCTCATTCTGCCACAATGTTGTGAGTTCTTCACAATTATGTATCCTCAATTCTTAGAGTCCCGTAAATCCATGAAAGAACCATCTAGGCAGGCATGTGAGTTTCTGAACATTTTCAATTTTTGAGAGGGTGATTTTTGGGAAAAATTGGGCCGAGCTTCGAGTTGGGTTTTGAGGCCCAAAACGCAGCGGGCAAGGTTACTCCGGCCCTAGGGAAACAAAAATACTTCGGCCCATGAAAGTGAGTTTGCTCCGGCTCAAGAAGAGACGCGGTTACTTCGGCCCAAGGACGAGTGAAACTACTCCGGTCCGGAGACAACTCACAGTTAGGCCGGTCTCAGAACTAGTCCGGTCACGATAAGTTCTGAAGCCGGTTTCGGAACTAGTCCGGTCGTCACATACTATGGTTAGGTCAGTCATAGCCATTCAACCACCAACTGTGGGCACTTCACAATCTCAAGCTTTCTTAAGCAAGGAAGACTGTCAGGCAATTTACCCAAAAGCTTAGGACCACTTTGAATGGAGAGCTCTAAGAGGCGAGCAAATGCTTGAACTTCCTCATCAACTTCAAAAGGAGACCAATCCTCCCATTCTGGCATATCCCAAAAGTGTAAAGTCTCTAGAGCTGGAAAAGGGTTTGAGCAACCCCCCAAGAAATCAAGGCCAACATTCTCTACTCTTTTCATTCCTCGAATGTAAAGTTTTGCAAGTGAGGTAATTGCCCCAGAGGGGGTAAGCATGTGCATTTTTCACAATTTTGCAACACTAAGTGCACCATATTAGAAAACCGAGGATCTCCAACCCAAGTTGGAAATATTGGACCATGGTAACCATTGATGGAAAGTACTTTAACCTTATTGTCCGGTTGTAGCATGTCAAGAACTTCTAATTCAACTTTTTCATTTCGTGAATCTTCTGAATTAGTGTTACTCCATTCCATCAATAACTCGTCTAAGCCCTGCTTCTCATATAACTTAGCGGCCTTTGCATCCACAACATCCACCACATTATCTAACCCGGATATGCAAAGTGCCCCTCTAAGATGAATTAAGTTCCCCAACTCTCTTATCATAAACCCATTTCCTTTGCTAACAATTAAGTTTGATAATGTTTGGAGACTTGTTAACTGACCTATTTTTGGTGGCATCTCTTGTAAGGAATTTGCACCAGTAACGTCGAGATGACGCAAGTTAATTAGGTTTCCTGTAGTTGTAGGCAAGTTTTTCATATGTATGCAATATCTTAATTTGAGTGTTTGTAGATTGTAGAGAGTGCACAGTGATTCGGGTAATGAACAAAATAGGGCATAGCAAAGATCAAGATACCTCAAATGCTTTAAATGTCCGATTGAACTTGGCAGTTCACCTATTATGCATCCACCAAAACTAAGCACGCGTAAACGTCTAAGCTTTGGCAACAAATCATGGTGGTCAAATAACCTCCATAATATCCTCCATATAGTAAAAAGGTACGTAAATGCTTGGCATCATAAAATGCCTCAAACTTTTTGATGCCGTCATAATGGCTGGACATGTATGATGAGTGGCGTGCCTTACTGAGATTTTTGTACTGCTCGTTAGCTTTCGACTTACCCTCCAACCAAAAACAAATTTTTCCTACAACAAACTGAGCTAGATCAATGATGAGGTCATGCATCACAAATTTTGAACTTTCACCACTAGTTAATGGTTGAAAAAATGACATGGACAACAATTCACGAAAGTATTGATGTCCAAGATCTTCCATTTGCTTCTTTCCTTTTCCTTTTGGTTCTTGAATGAAGCCTTCTGCCATCCACAATAAAACAAGTTTCTTTTCCCTAAAGCAGTAATTCTTGGGCAGTATTGAACAGTATGCAAAACACTTCTTCAAATGTGAAGGGAGGTGATGGTAGCTTAATCTCAAAGCTGGAAGAATGTCACTTTCCTGATCTGATAACTCCCACATTTTACTATTCAATACATCTTCCCATTTATCGTCTCTTAGTTTACGGCGTAAAAGCCCACCAAGTGTCCTAGCAGCCAAGGCAAGCCTCTACATTTCTCAACTATTTTCCTACCAATTGAAACCAAATTCGGGATTGCCTCAATAATTGTGTTCCCAAATGCATTTTGTGCAAACACCGACCAACAATCATCCATTGATAATTGCTTCAAGTGATGATATTTCACAGTTCCTAGCATCAACGCAACATCTATGTTACGTGTTGTTACCATGACTCTACTTCCTCGGGCTCCATCGTTGAAAGGACTCTTCAAACTGCTCCAATCACTGTGTTTTTGTTCCAAAAATCATCTAAAACAATCAATAACTTTTTCCCATCCAAAATCTGCTTTAGTTGGACTTGGAGTTGATCCAAGGTATCAAAATTGCAAGGCTGGGAAGTGACGGACTCCAAAATTGCTTTTGTCACTCGCATAATATCGAAATCTTCAGAGACACAAACCCATGCTTTTATTTCAAAATGCTTCCCAACCATGTCATCATTGTATACCATCTGAGCAAAGGTGGTCTTGCCAACCCCACCCATACCCATAATCGGAACAACCCCAATATTGCAATTGTTGGAAATGGTTATAAAATTCTGGGTAAAACCAGAATTTTTTCCTAAGTTTGGTCTATTTTTTAGGTGGGCCCCGTGTGTCGATTTTCATGGGTCAAAGTGGTAACGCATTCTATGCTGCGTTGTGATTCACGTGGTATATTTGGTTGCTCAAAACCATTATCGAGTGAATGAGAAATTGAAGCCAAAGTATGCTCCGTGCAAATGGAGTTTTGGTGGAGAATCCTTAAAGGTATTGAATAAGGCTTGTCTCACATTGATTTGGTGGGAAGTTTTGAATGGGTTTATAAGGCATGGGTTTGGTACTTGGGGTGTGCCCCAAGGGGTACCCAAGTGTTTTAGAGGGAGAGGTTATGGGCTAGACCCATTGGACCCAAAAATCACCACACGCGCACGCGCACCGCCGCCGCCGTCCGTCCGGGCGGGCTGGGCTGGGCTTGGGCGCGAGTGCGTGGTGTGTGGTTGGGTTGGACTTGTTCGGCCCAATACTAATCTTTTTGGGCAAAAAATATTTGAATTTAATTTTATTTTTGGTAAAATAAAATCCAGAATTCAAATTAAACTGGAAAATAAACTGGTCCGGTTTTACTGTATATCCAAACAGGGCCCTTCCCGTTTTTTATCTATTTGAATTATAAACCAAACAGATTCAAATCTGTTTGAATTCAAAACCAACAGGTTCACACCTGTTTAATTCAAACCCAACAGCCATAATTCCATCTATAAATAGGACAACCCTCATTTGGATTTTGTAACTCTAATTCCGTCCTTCATAATTCTGTAAATATTCTTTTCATATTGCTGCATTATTTTCTTCTGTGAGAGAGTATAAACACTTAGTGTGTTCGTTAGGCAAACAATTTGTAGTGCTGCTATTGTTTGTAGTAGATCATTTTATCCTGGGAGATAGACGTCCAAATTCTGAAAGCACCATGAAGAGGACGAATCTGTCTTAAGGACACAGTGTCAAACACTGGACTTGATCAGATAATTATTCAAAGAAATTAATCAAGTAAGTTGTATAATTTATTATTCTGTTTTATTTATTTATTTAAATCAGATTTTAATTTTTTTTTTGTAACAAAATAAAATATGTTTTTATTTATTTTGTTTTATTTCTAGTTTAATTTTTGTAATCAAATAAATTCTCTCATTTCCTTTATTTTTTTATATTCTAGTTATTGTTTAGTACACAACAGAATTTAATCTACTTAAATACAGTGAAGATTGTCCAACAATTTTAAGACAGACTTTATTTTTGGTATCTTCATTGTATTTAATTTTCTGTAATTTTATAAAGACACATTCTGGTTGGAAAAACAAATAGTGATTCATGCTATTTGATAGATAGTAGTAATATACTGTCTCTTTTCTTTGACAACTAGTAGTAATAAACTGGTGCCATTAACAATTGCAGAATATTAATTTGTATTATAGAAAATTATTGTGGTATTTTATTTTTCTAGTTTTAGTAAGAAGGAAAATAAAATTATTTTGTGTTTTAATTTATTTTCTGATTTTGATAACTAGAAAATTAATTTGTGATGTGTTTTTCTGATTTTTGTAATCATATATTATTGTGGTATTTTATTTTCTAGTTTTAGTAACAAGGAAAATAAAATTATATTATTTTTTAGTTTTAGTAACAAGAAAAATAAAATTATTTTGTGGTATAATTTATTTTCTGGTTTTAGTAACTAGAAAATTAATTTTGTTAATCAATCATATAACTTTTTGTTTCGGTTACAATCTGTACATTTTGTACGTAACTTACGGTTTCGTTTGAAAGGTCACTTAAACCCTTTGTGAAAAGGTGTTAGTACTTGGAAGTATTTGATTCTGGAGTTAAATATTAGTTTTACAAACTAATTTCATTTTTATTACGAAAAAACCTTTATGGCAAGGTTTTTCCTTTATTGGTTTACTGATTTATTCTTTAATTTTGTGAATAGTTTCTGCACATGAGTCGGAAAATATATATATATATATATATATATTCACAAGAACATTGTATATGTAGTTATATCGGTCCATTTAATTGGGAAGTAATATAAGAAATCTTTTATGTTGATTATTTGAATTATGTGACATGAGATGTCATGAATAATTATTTTACTTGCGTAGTAGAATTTGTTAAATCATAAAACATTTTATTAATATGGGGGTGTATCTCTTGCATTAGATGAGATAATTTAATTTTCTTCGGTCACAAATATTTTTTTGTGACAATGTTACTTATTCGTAAATGAGTTGCAAGAAGTTATACAATCAAATAAGATTTTTGTTTTGTTCGTTTCTTAGGCAAAATTTTTATGAGGATATGATTTTGTCAAAACATTAATTCTGATTTGTGTAGTCATAATTATTTTGGATTTTTCATTTGAGATTTATGAATCATGATTTGAAATTAATTCTAATTTGTGTAGTCATAATTATTTTGGATTTTTCATTTGAGATTTATGAATCATGATTTGAAATTTATGAATCTAGCACATCATAAACAACAAGTGGTGGATGTTATATTTTGATTTATATTAGAAGTGATAGGGTGGTGAATATGATGCACCATTAAATGAATTTTGTGCACAACATGGCATTATTCACCAAACTTCAGCCTCTTATTCTCCACAGCAAAATGGAATTGCTGAAAGGAAGAATAGAACCCTAAAAGAAATGATAAATGCCATGTTACTAAGTTCAGGCTTACCACAGAACTTGTAGGGGGGAGCAATTTTGTCTGCTACTTTTGTTCTTAACAAAATACCCCACAAAAAAACCAACAGCACTCCTTATGAATTGTAGAAAGGTCGACCGCCTTCCTACAAATACTTAAAAGTGTGGAGGTGTTGGCAAAAGTTGAAGTTCCTGTTCCTAAAAATACTAAGATTGGATCAAAAGCAGTAGACTGTGTGTTTATTGGTTATGCTCAGAATAGTAGTGCATATCAGTTTCTGACTTATAAATCAGAAATACCTGATATAAATGTGAACACTATTATAGAGTCAAGAAATGCTGTGTTTTTTGAACATGTCTTTTCTTACAAGAAAGGATAGGAATTTAATTCACAGAAAAGAACTTATGATTGTACACAAAGTCAAGAGACTAATGACAATCAAATACAAGAGACTAGTAATGGTCTCGACCAACATGATTTAACTGATGATGAACTAAGAAAAAGTAAGAGAGCGAGAACATCAAAATCCTTTGGTCCAGATTTTCTGACATACCTGTTAGAAAATGAACCTCAAAGCTTTAAGGCAGGAATGACAGGTCCTGAAGCACCTTTGTGGAAAGAGGCTGTTAATAATGAAATTGAATCCATTATGCAAAATCATACTTGGGAATTGGTGGATCTTCCACCAAGTTCTAAACCTCTTGGATATAAGTGGATATTCAAGAGAAAAATGAAGGCAGATGGTTCAATAGACAAGTATAAAGCAAGACTTGTAGTAAAAGGTTACAGGCAAAAGGAAGGTCTGGACTATTTTGACACATATTCTCCTTTGACAAGAATAACATCCATTCGCATGCTTATTTCTATAGCAGCGTTGTTTAATTTAGAAATACATCAAATGGATGTTAAGACAGCTTTCTTAAATGGTGATCTAAATGAAGAGATCTATATGGAGCAACCCGAAGGGTTTGTAGGGTCGGGGCAAGAAAAGAAAGTTTGTCGGCTTGTGAAGTCTCTTTATGGATTAAAACAAGCACCTAAGCAATGGCATAAAAAATTTGATTATGCAATGCTTACTAATGGGTTTAAGATAACGAATGTGACAAATGCGTCTATGTTAAAAACACTGACCAAGGATATGTCATAGTTTGTCTTTATGTGGATGACATGCTTATCATTGGAAGCAGTCAAAACATGATCAAATCAAATAAGCAAATGCTTAACAAGAGATTTGATATGAAAGATATGGGGATCACAGATGTTATATTAGGAATGAAAATTACTAAAACATCTGACAGATATGTATTATCTCAATCACATTTGATTGAGAAAATTCTTGGTAAATTTATCAAGGATGATATGAATTTAGCTAGAACACCCGTAGACATCAGTCTTTATTTATCAAAAAAATAAAGGTGATGCAGTGTTTCAGTTAAAGACTCCCAAATCATTGGAAGCCTAAATGTACCTAATAAATTGTACTCGTCTTGATATAGCTTATGCTATCAGTAAATTGAGTAGGTACACTAGTAATCCTGGAGAAGACCATTGGAAAGCGATCATTCGAGTTCTTAGATATCTAAGATTCACCCGTAATTATGGTTTGAACTTTACTCGATATCCAGCAGTACTTGAAGGTTATTGTGATGTCAATTGGATATCGGATATTAAAGATTCAAAATCCACTAGTGGATATGTTTTTACTCTAGGAGGCGCTGCTGTTTCTTGGAAGTCCACGAAACAAACTTGCATCGCACGACCCACAATGGAATCCGAGTTTATTGCTTTAGACAAAGTAAGAGAAGAAACAGAATGACTTTGTCACTTCTTAAAAGACATTCCAATGTGGCCAAAACCTGTGCCAGCTATTTGCATTCATTGTGATAGTCAATCTGCCATAGGCAGGGCACAGAATCATATAACGGTTAGTCACGATATATTCGTCGTCGACATAATACCGTAAGGTAATTGTTGTCAAACGGAATAATCTCAATAGATTATATAAAATCTAAAGAGAATATTGCAGATCCGTTAACAAAAGGTTTGACAAAAGAGCTAGTGTACAGTTCATCGAAGGGAATGGGATTAAAGCCTATTACATAAGAGTCATCATAATGGTAACCCTACTTATATGACTGGAGATCCCAAGAACTAAGTTCAAAGGGACAACTAAGTTATGTATGGCTCGCCAGAAATCACTAAGGGATTAAAATTCCTTACCCATTCCTATGGTGAGAGTGATATCTGTAACATATGTTGTATGCAGGGGTATAAGGATTAGTTTTGCTTTTAATGATTA